TAGGGTTTGGCTCATAATGTCATTAGAATCTAAGCAGCACTGACTGATTAAATATTTCATAAGTGATGATTCATACCTGATATCACTTATTGCATTAGAGAAGCCCATACATGGAATTAATTTTCCTTAAAATAAACATTTCTATTTTACTATTGTTTTCTCACTCCACCAAAAGACTACAGTCCTCTTTTTTATTTTTCCCCTTCCTTAAGACCTGGTTGTATCTGCCTATGCTGAATGAGTTGCAAAACTTTTAAAGGCACTGATAAAAAAAATGCTCACTGAAAACAAGATTATTTTAAAGATACGAAAATGCCTAGAGATGAAGTTAGCCACTTTATGGTATTATCATAAGCACTCTGGCACCTAACTCCCATTGATTTAATTATGAATTCAGCACTTGGGTCCTTTTAGCAATACCACTGGGTACCTACCTGCATTTTAAGCACTCCTGTACCTTTAGAAATCTGACTCTTAAATAAAAACTTTAAGTGTGCCACCAATCTCATTACTGCCAGCAGGACTATTCATAGGCTGGAAATTAAACCTATAGTTAAGCATTTACGGCACCTATGCTTATAACTTCAGTTGTCTCCCAATTCCCTATAGAATATCAACCTTAGTTGCACAAGTAGGAATGTAACTTTCTATGAAAAGTATTAATATTTTTATATTTTATTCTCTGTAGGCTAACATGTAGCTTAAAATCATACAATATGTAATAGCACTTTTGAACATGACTATAAGCTAGGGTTGAATTTGGCCCTGTGAGTTAATCAGCTTCAGCAGTACTGTACCAGTCTATGGTACACCATTTTTGTGCTCTGATTTACAACTTCTTTAATTTCAGTGGAATTAGTTCTAGTTTACACTAATGTAAACAAGACGAGGAGGTGGATTCTTCAAGGTGTCAGATGCTGCTCAGTGTTGCTGTGAATCCGCAACTCATTTTGAAGCCAAGCTCAGTACCTTGCACAGAGATGACCTGAGTAGGGTGCAGGGCCCGGGGCAAAGCAGCCTGTGTGGGGCCCCACTCCCCATCCCCTGGCACACTTACGCCAGGGACTGAAAGCCCTGGCACACTGGATGGTGGCAGTGGTGGTGGCCAGAACTTTCAGCCGGAACAAGGAAACAGTCCTCCAACCCACTTGGTGGGCGGGCCAAATGTCAAATGCGGCAGCCGTGTCTACTTTGCCCAGCTCTGTGGGGCCCCACAAAGTGTAGGGCCCTGGGTGGTTGCCCCAATTCTCCCTCCACAGGGATGACCTTGACCTTGCATAATCAGGGCAACAGTAAGCAAATAAAAAGAATAATTCCTATATGTACTTGAAGAGATGATTGAAGTGATGACATGAGAAGACTTCTTAAGCATGAACATTTGCCAAATATAATTCAGTTATTCAACTAATTTAGAATACTACTGAATGAAGTGAATCTCTCTAAATATTTTCTCAGCAAAAAGCAGTGTCATCTTAGACATCTTTGACAATCTGTAATAACTTCAAAACATATTGTACTGGAGTTAAAGAAGTGGATTGCTTGATGTCTGCCAACACTAATTCATAAGATAATTGTTAATTCTGCCAAAAAAGTTCTTCCTTTCTTTCTCTGAACTCGATTAGTGGGAAGAAACCACTTCCCAAATATGGACCGATAATATGTTGTGATTAGCAGATAAATTGCACATTATCCATTCTTGCAGTTTAAAATATACAGGCCTTTCCTACAGTTACCGCTGTTGACTTGTTTGTATTTAGAAAAAAAATCTAGTTATCTTATTTATCTCCACATTCTGCATGTCATAAACCACAGAAAATACTCTTTGTTAAGGTGCTTATGTTTAAAACACTTTGATTTTCAATAGATGTTGTGTGTTAACTTCAAGAAGCATATGAAGTGCTAAAGTACTGTTGCCCTGATTATGCAAGGTCAAGGTCGTCCCTGTGGGGGGAGAATTGGGGCAACCACCCAGGGCCCTATGCTTTTGGGGGGGCCCCACAGAACTGGGCGAAGTGGACACGGCTGTCACATTTGACATTTGGCCCACCCACCAAGTGGGTTGGAGGGCTGTTTCCCTGTTCTGGCTGGAAGGTAAGGATAAAAGTCTACTATTTGCACTGAAGACCAATCATTCATTCTTGAAATTGATTTATAATTTTAATATAATTATTCATTGGTAGAATTTTATTCTTTTACATAAGCTTTTGTAACTGAAAATCAAAGAAAAGTGTGTTAATAAATTTCATCATTGCTGGTATTTGTTTCTTTGTTATATTTGTCTCAGGTCTGCACTGGCTACACAGAGAAAATACCCTTTGAAATAAATGGGAGTTTTGACTGTGGAGGGATTGCTGGATTTGGCCTTATTTATATTTTTAAATCTCCTCCTTCAGCTCTCTGCCAATAATAAATTTCCTAGGTAAAAGTTTATTTAAGTCAGCATTATGAAGTCAACAAAATGCAAACCTAAAATAGAAGTCAGGCAGAAAAAATTGTTCTAGTGAAGTCAATAAGAATCCATCTCCCTAATCCGTTTTTTATTCCTGGCAATGGTAATTTTTCTTGACTGATTCATTGAGAGCACTGATTTAACTAATTTGTCTTGAATAGGTACCTTTCCTATTCTAAGTCCTTTCTACTTGTACAAAACAGTTTTTTAAAGGCCATTTCCTAGATAGATCTTTCATAAAACTACAGTCATTAATTTGCACTGTAGTAGTGCATTTCACTGTGCTTTTTAAAACTATTAGTTACACTGTTGATTTATATGTTGCAAAAGTGACAGGATATGCTAACAAGACTGTTTATACTTGCTATCTACTCCCATCTAAAAACATGCCTATTTCACCACACCATCCTTCTTTTTTGTAACCATTTCCTGAAATTTAGTAGAGGAGTAAACCTTTGCCCCTAGAATTCTATAGGAAATAAAAAAGCACATATAGAAAACATAATGCTCTATTACATTTTATGGGTTTCAAGAGTCATGTCTATAGAAACCTATTTTTCATCTTGCATACAGTCTATAGCATTTCCTAAAGGTGATAATTCTATAATAATCCCCGGATAACTGTCAACCGTATACATCTATTTCAGAGCCTTATTTTGTTTTTCAGTAGAAAAAAATCACAAAGCCTAAGATTTTCAACATATGTAAAAACAATTAAAATATCAAAATTAAATGATGCATAAATAAAGGGATTTACCTACCTAAACTAAAGAGCACCAAGAACTTGAGACACACAAACTCTCGTAGATCAAACTGAAGGGAACGAAGCTTTGCCACTAGCTCCTGTGCATGGCTCATAAGGTTGTTGAGGGTGGCTCCTGCTTGAGATGCTATTACAGAATAATCCACCTGTAAAAAGAGTATCACATTTCTATCTGTTTATCATATTCACATTTGGGTCCACTTAGAAATTTTCAAGTAATCTTATGCAACTGAGAGATCCCATGAAGAAAACATTTCCCAACAAATGTAACTATGGAACCAAATCAGGAAGATTTTATTTAGAAGCATAAATTTTAGCACATCGTTGTGCCTTCACAGTTTTTTTTGTTCTAAAGCATGTAACTTATGGCATGTAACATCATCTTTGAATACTGTGTTCTTAAAATTAATGGGAAAAATATTTTATCCAACTCCTGCTTATTGACCTAATCTCACCCATCTGTTTGCTGTATCTGTCTTTTGTTTCTCCCTCTCATTTTAATTGCAACATTTTTTAGGGGTGAAGACTCCATTTTCCCTATGTGTATATTTCAATGCTTGATTCCTGAAAGGGACTTCTTGGTGCTGTAGTAATATGGATTCTTGTTCTTTACTCTTTTCCAGTAGCAAACACTGTGGCTAAGTACATGGCACATGCCTGCAGTGGCACAAGCCAGGAGCAGGGGGCAGTAGCGCACATTTCCCTGCTCAGCTACAGCAGACAGCTTTGGCCAAGGCTAGCCCGCCCATCCTGTGGGGGCGGGGGGGGCAGTTGCGGGGGAGTTGCAAAGCATCCTGGAATGCCAGGGGACCATGAGTAAACTTGAATCTGGAGGAGATATGTTACAGAAGTTCAATAAACCAATTTAACCTAAATTAGTTAAGTTTGATACTACATCCATCCAGGTTTATCTTAAACCAGTTTTGGCCATTTTGAAAGCAGTTTATGTGAACTGAACTTCTGTTGTGTTACAGATTTGAACCAGTTTCCAATGTGTGTAATTTTTGTAACTAGCCTTTGAAACTATGCACGAGAAGTATTATAGGATGAAACTGCACACTCATTTTGGGAGGTGTTTCCATGTACTCAAGTTGGAGTGCAATTCCCCCCAAAATCATGTGTGAGACCTTCTATACTGTGGAAACTTTGGGCATATCTACAGCATGGCTTTAACTATGGGTGAGGGGCTGCAAACATGTCCTGCCTACCCTCTCCCATTGATGCACTCCAAACTGGAAAATGCGCTGAGGAGGCTGTTTTGGAGTCATCTGTTAGTGACTGGTCTTAAGCATGTCAGAGATGCTGCCACTGAGGTATAGATATGCCATCTTGGTAGTTTGTTTGGAGGATATTGGTAGATTGCAAGAGGCCTGGTCTAAGTTTATTTTCCCGGAAAGAAGTGGTAATATTCAAGGGTAGTAGTCCAATATACTGGAATTTCTACAAATGGTCCATGAACTGAAGGCACACCTGTAGTTCTAGATAAGTCTCTAGCAGTGGGGTGGTTCTTTCTCTATCCCTACACAAAATCCAGTGGAGTCCTACTGAGTTTGTTGAATTCCAGTTGGCTTGATTCCTCTTACAGGAATAAAGCAGGAA